ACAACAACAATGTAGATCCTATAAATGCCGTTTGGCAAAGGGGTTAAGAGGAGAGGGCTAAGAAGAAGGGTTAACTTAATTAACCCATCATGAAGAGTTGAAAAAAGTTAATTCTTATATAATTAACATGAAGGGTTAGCTTTTCTGTGTTTGGCAAATCGAGAGGTGTTAACTAGGTTAATCCCTCTAATATTTTTCAAAAATGCCAATTATAACTTTATTACAAGTGGGAAGTTTTACTATTAATTATTATACTAATATAAATTCAACTAGGATGTCCAAAGCTATAAAAATATCGTCATCTATGTTACAGTTGTTACTTAAATAAATGATTGTTGAGAAGACTGACAAAAATCAATTTCAATTAGAAAAATAATAATTTATGTTTATATGAGGATATAACGACAACAATTCTTATTGTAAAAATTTTAATTATTATTTTTGCATAAAATTAAATGCCCAATAAATAGGCTTTTGATTAATCATTAATCTCAATAAAAATTTAGTTATTCAAGAACATACACAACAAATTGAATAATAATACTATATAAAATTTGTATGTTTGCCGAAATATACATAATAGCAAAAGACTAAAGTTTACAATGTAAAGATAAAATTACATTTAATTCAACCTCGTTACACATTAATATGTGGCACACAATACGAATATCAATTATTTGAAGGTAAAAAACGATTCCGTTAGTATTAAATTCCTTGTGTTCTTCTTAGCCATTCTAGATTATTAAATAAGAATTTCAAAGACTCTTACCAACTTGGGGCCTTTAATTAGACTTCCAAAGCCACCAAATCGTTTGAGGTCACATTTGTCATTAGAGAATGGAGTCATACCTTCTTGGGAGAGACCAAAAGCATCAGTTATATCATTATCACCACATGTAGATACTCACGGAAGTTCACAATTGGTTATGGCAACTTGTATACAACAACTCACAAAAGTCACAATTGGTTATGGAAACTTGTATGTCAAGTTTTCACCTAAGGGGTTGAGTATGCAGGAACAATATAAATCATGAGGTGATTGTTATATCATTGGCTGGGTTAAAAGGATGTTATTCAAGGACAAGGGACATGTTCTTCTTCTTTGTTCTAGTTATATATTTTTATTGCAGTTCACATCCGAACCCAAAGATGTTTAAAACCCAAATCCAAACCCTCATATTCTTTTCCAATTATCATCTTCTTCCTATCTCCTAAGACATTTCACATAAGACGATACGAGAAATAAAGAGAGGGAAGTTTGTGATTCAAGCCAAGAACGAATAACTTACTTTAGTGTAAAGCAGTAATTTAGCATATCGCTAACTCATGCAGCGACTAGTTCGACTAATACAACTTAGCCAACAGAATAGCAAATTCAATGATCTGAGAGACATATATGAAATATTCAAGGGACCAACATCTAAAATACTCAGAAAAAAATTCCCAACCTAGATCTACTTAATAACCCTGCCCAATAACACTCCTTAGGGTTTCTTTTCGCAGGAAGGAGCGATGGATTTTTAACTTCGCTCATAGACATAATAATTCAAAATTTCCAAAAATCCAATCTTTAGTCAAAGAATCCAATCTCTAGAGTCCCAGCCCTACTTCTAAATCCCATAGCACACGGTTCTCAAAACAATTGTCTGAACCACTAACAAACAATTTAGGTTTAGGGTTTTCGTACGAAACAACAACAAGCCTTTGAGATTTTTCCCGATATAAAAAAAAAATTAGGGTTTTAGGGTTTCGGAAAGAATTACTTACTTGACCTTCATTCGAGCGAGGCGATCGGCGACGGAGGTGTCCTTCTCCATCTTCGGCTCTTTTGTTCCGAACGTGTAGTTCGATAGTGGGTACGTGTTCACCACCGGTGAGTTTACCATCTCTCTCTCTCTCTCTCGCTCGATCGCTTGTAGCTGGAGCCGCCTCGAGGGATTAAAACCAGATGGAACGAGAATTGGAGCTGAAATGGAAGTTTTGGGATGGTGGTTTTGTAAATTTTGGAATAGGTTCGGGCTTGTGAGGAAATTTGTTGCGTAATGTAAGGGGTAAATTTCATAAAACGCCACGGTTGGTGATACTTTTCACGAAACCCCCCGGAGTTTGTTTTTCCCACCTAACCCCAGAAGTTCTCTCACAAAACCATCAAAACTAGAAAGTGTTACATAAAGCACCCAAGAATTTTAACTTTTCTGATAATAGGAGCTCGCACAAAGTGTCTCCTACACTTAGAGGGCCTTATTATCTGCTCAATTATGTTATTTTATTTCCTTGTTTTATCCGGAGCTAATCTCCTCCTCCTCCTCTCTCCCTCTCTCTACCATCTCTCTCCTCTTATTTATTATTTTATCTCTTTGTAGTTGTAACCGCTTCAATAGAATTAAAATGAGGGGAAATTAAGACTTTGGGTTGAGAACGAAGTTTTTGACGAGTGGCTTTGTAAATTTAGTGAAGATTTGGCGCTTGTGAGTAAATTTGTTGCACAAAGTACACTATTGGGTCGTTTTTGGGCCCTGGGATCTGAAGTCGATTGTTGCTTAAGTGGGCTTCTATTAAGGGTCCTATTTGACCCCATGAGTTTGGGGTTTGGGCCTTCTTGTTTATTATTTTAGTTTGTATTTCTGTCTTTTTTTTTTACTTTTTTTTGGGTTATTCAGTATCAGTCCCAATACCTTTAATATTTAAAAAACAGTACATCAAATGGTTGAAATTGCTATTAGGTACCCAATTCTTATTAGTTGTCTCAAGATTAGTCCTTCAAATGATTGAAATTGTTATTAGCTCTCCCAATTCTTATAATTTGTTCCAAATTAATCCTTACTGCGAGGAGCAGCAGTAGTAAGTTATATATAAGGCATAAGAAAGAACTAGGGGACATCATGACACTTTCAATTACTTGAGGGCCTAATGTCAAAATATTAAAACCTTAAGGCACTACTATGAAAAAACATTTTTCTAACGGAATTCACTTTTAGAGTTAGTTTGGTTCGCCGCGGCTGCAGTTGAAAGGAAGGTTTAGTTGCATGCAGGGGCATAGCCAGAGCAGTCTTGCCCTGGGCAGTTGCCTAAGGCAAGAAACTACCACACTTCACCTCCCCCTCCCGCCTCCCCTCGCTTCCCTTCTTCTCCGGCCACTTCACCTCCCTCTCCCGCAGATCCTACCTCCTCTCCCTCCTCTTCTAGGACATCCATCTTAACAATCCCCAACCCTCCTCCCTCTCTCGCGCCTCCCTCGTCTCCCTCACCGAGCTCCTCTCCCTCCTCCGTCGCTTCAAGTCCCTCACCGTCGATCACCTTTATTTTTCGCCCAGGGCAAAAAATATTCTTGGCTACACCACTAGTTGCATGTAATTGTGTAACATTAAGTTACAATTACAAGTTGTTTATTCAAGTTTAATTCTTTGTAATTTGCACTTGTAGGTTTATAGAGTAAGGTATCAAGTTTTTGGATTTCCAGGCATTACTATTGGAGTTACAATTTAAAACTCATCTTCAGCTTTAAAAAAATATAGTCTTTTAGCTCATGCTAAGCACGGTGTTATTGCAAATCCACCTCCTTTTCGTCAATTTTAAACACCTTTGTTTTCAAAATAATTTTTAAAAATTTTGGCTAATCCTCTTTGCTGAATCATGGCAACCCACCAGGGTTGAGGTTAAAAATTATGTCGTAGAGGATTTTCTTAAATAAGTTGACAAGACAGAAAATAATGGCGATTGAAGAGATTTTGGTGGAGAATGGGCCAAAGTCTCTCGATGTGAAAAAATTCATCGCTCATAATATTTGGGGAGAAGACGGTAATTTTTCAAAGCCTTCATCGTTTGATTTTTCTCTTTTTTCAAAGCCCATCTTCGATCAGCCCAATTCGTGGCCTCGGTTGGGATCTAGGGTTTTTGAACCTAGGGTTAATTACTTAACTGTGGTTCGGTTGGATTCTTCGGCTGGGATTGATTTGGATAAATCTCAAGAGAAAACAATGGTGGGAAATGAAGAAGGAGAATGAGTTAAGGTTGTCAAAAGAAACCCTAAAGCGTCGTCTCCACCCAAAAGATTGTTCAGTCCCAAATCTTCTCTGCGGAGTTTATCAAAAGAAATCGTCTTTGTTTTCGCTGTGGTGGTTGGAAGCACATGGCGAAAAACTGTAGAGATCCGATGGTGTGCTTTAGATGTCAAGAATTTGGGTATGAAGCTAGAAATTGTAACATATTTGTTGTTAGAGGTCGAGGCTCAGGAGGAAGAAATGCTGGTAATGGAGGGCGAGGTCATTTTAGTGGGGGGTTTGGTAATAATACTGGTAATGATGGCCGATCTGGGCAAAACCCTAGAGGTGCTGGTGTTGGGCGATCAAATCCATGGCAATGGCGTCGGGAGAGGGCGGCATATGCATTCTCATCATCAAGAAACCAAGATCCTGTGCATCAGCAGGATAAAGGTAAAAGACCATTCTCGTCGGTAGATGAAGATAAACTTCAAGAATTTGTTCCCCTAATTTTAGGATCAATGGCTAAGAGATTATGGAGATCTAGAGATGGAACTGAAAAATTTTGGTGAGCGTCCTCGTTTCTCTACTGCCATTCTTTGTTTTGAATGGGAGGTAAATTCTGACTTTCAAAAATTCAGAAATTTTGCGATAATTTCGTTTGTTGAGGGGGGAAATGTTTCATTGGAAAGGTTAGAATTAGATCCGAGAGCTTTTTTTCCCTATGAATAAGTACTGGGATGTAAGGTTGTTTACTAATGGGGAAGTGTTGGTTAGAATTCAACCATGGAAACAAATGGAGGAGTTGATTAAAATGGGTGTTATTACACTTCGTTCTTGTAAAATTAAGCTTCGGAGATGGAATGCTTGGGAAGGAAATATAATTGAAAAGAGAAACTCTCAGGTTTGAATCAAATTGAAAGGTGTTCCTCCTCATTTATGAAATAAAGAAGCTTTTGGGTTGATGGTGAAACCTTTTGCTGATTTGGTTGAACTTGATTCATTGACAAGTGCTGGTACTGCATTAGTAGATGTAGTTTTGCTAATTAGATGTTTGGAATATATTAATATTCCTGAGGTTTTGAAGATTCTTGTTGGGAAAAAGCAATATAATGTGGAGGCGTCTATTATATCAGTTATGGGTGATTTTGTTGAAGCAGAAAAGAAAAAACAAAAAGTGGATCATTTGGAAGATAACAATCAGAGTTCTTATAATGATAGATGGTTTAAGGGGAGAAAAGATAGTGGAACTGGGTCCTCATCTTTGAAGGATTTTGGTTCCAATTCATAGAATGTTAGACAAGATTTGAGAAATAATCCTTGGGGTTCACCAGCGGCTAGATTGTGGACTGAGGCAAGAAATTTTTACCAGAAGCATAATACTGAATGGGAAAAATAGGAAGATAATTCTTCAATAAATATGGGAGATGAACAACTTCCAGAGCATGTAGTAATTACTAACAATGTTGGTATTTCAGAGCAGCTGTTTGAGGTAGATGAAGGTAGGGATAAAAAATTTGAAATGGAGTTGAAGGAGCATTTGTCTTTTATGATTTCTGAACAAGAAGAAGATAATTCCTTTATGGAGAATGATAAAGGTAAAGCTCTTATGATCAGTGAGGGTAATGCTACTATTTCAGACCAGCTGTTTGATGTAGAGGAAGGTAGAGATAAAGAGTTTGAAATGGAGTTGAAGGAATATCTGTCTCCTATGATTTCTGAACAAGAAAAAAAGAATTCTATAAGGGAGAATGATAAAGGCAAAGCTCTTTTGATCAGTGAGGGTAATGATAGTGATAAATGGATGCCGGAGTCATCTTGGGAGCTTTTTAATAAGGAGGAAGGTTTAGAGAAAGAAGAAGACATTCTTATGATTCAACCTCTTAATTGTTTGCCTCCTGCAGATCAAGAGCTTAATGTTAATTCAAAAATCACTTATGTCAGAAGATGTTCCAGGTTAGTGGACCTTGAACCTATGTCTGCTTTGGACAGAGCCACTGCAAGAGCTGCTATAAAAAAAAAATTCTAATCATGGAGCCCCTTTAGGTGGATCAGGTGAAAGCTCTTCTAACTTAGGTTCTTCTTTTGTTCCCATTTTGTTTGACTCTTTTTCTAATAAGCAGATGCAAAGTTTGGCCTCAAAATGTGCTATTATACTTGAACCTCAAGGGGATTTCGACCCCTTAAAAAAAGTAAGGCAAATGGAGAAGGAGAGAGCTACTTTTGAGTAGGCTCTGTTTCTTCCTTCTAGTTGGAGGTGTTTTGTTATTTTTACATGTTGGTTACATGGAATGCAAGAGGTCTTGGCTTGAGTACTAAAAGATTTGGAGTTAAAGATTTCTGTCTTTTAAACAAGTTTGAGATTTTTTGTCTACAAGAAACAAAGTTGAGTGGTGTTGATGACAGAATCTTAAAAAGTTTGGGAAATAACATGTTTGATTGGGTTTATGTACCCTCTATTGGAGCTTTAGAAGGTATTATGATTGGTTGTAATAATAACAAATGGATAAAAATTCAAGATTTATCTGGCAAATATGTTTTGACAGTTATGTTAAAAAATAAGAGAAATGCATTTGTTAGGTCTATTTCTTCTGTGTATGGTCCTCATTGCAATAGAGAGAGGACCATGTTTTGGCAATAACTTAAAAATGTTAAAAACAGGTTTTTTAGGATCTTGGGTAGTAGTGGGTGATTTTAATGTCACTAGTAATGTAGCTGAAAGAAAATGTAAAAATAATCATAGAAAAGAAATGAAAGAGTTTCGTGAGGTGATTAATGATTTAGAATTGATTGATAGTCCTTTACATGGTAAAAAGTTTACTTGGACTAATAAAAGAAGAGCACCTTCTATGGCTAGATTGGACAGAGTTTTTTTTTTAACTCTGAGTGGCAATATGCTTTTTCTTTCTCTAAGCAACAAGGTCTTAGTAGTCAATTATCTGATCATGCTCTCATTTTCTTTGAATGTGGAGATAATCAACAGTTTGTTAAAAAATTC